CAACTATAATTTAATATTAGTTTGTCATGTTATAAAAAGATTAGCGCCTTTCTATTAGATCCAATTAGATTGATAATGCCTTGCAAATTAAAAAGAGAGTTTTGATAGTATTTGGATAAGAACAAAACCATAATTTTAAAAGTATTTTTACGATATGCGAAATAAATATATAAAAGAATTTGTTTCAGTTTATATAAAAATATTTCTGAAAACGTTTTGAACGCCCCTCTTATACTAAAGGGTCTTTGAAAGCATATAAAAAATACTTTTTTACAGAACAAAACAACTTCTTCACATATTTATTTTGTACATTGTAAAAATATTTTAAAATCATGATTTTAACTCTATTCAGATACTCCGTGAAGCATGACCTGTGGTGAATGGGCCTCAAAAGTTATGAAGAGATTTAGGGGGTGTTTGGCAAAATCAAAACCTAGGTTTCAGAATCACTTTTCTGCAAAACGAGGTACGTCCTCCACATATTTATTTCATAATCTGTAAAAACACTTCTGAAACTATGATTTGGTTCTATCCAAACACCCTCTTACCATGTGAAGCGGTATTACTATTATAGACGAGTGGGTGGATGGATGGATCTGGCGGTGCAGATGATGAGCAGAGTCTGACGAGTGCAGAAGATACGAATCGTTGATTGGGCATCTGAGAGGGGTCCCCACTATGGATAAGTACATCATTAGACTCTCCCCACACATCCATACGTGTCGCTTTTATAACCAAAACCCATCTTCCTGTTTTAACCATACTCGTGACACCTGTTCCTGGCCCCTCTCCCTGCTTTCAAGTCGCGTCCCTTTCCCTTCCCTTGTGTTTTAAGGGTTTCAAATAAAAAAAATAATTACTAATAAATTTTAATAACAATTTCAATAATATGTAACAATAAGATTTAGAATAATAGATTTTAGAGTAAAAAATAACAGCCTCTATAATTTATTTTATAATATTTTTATTTTTTAAAATCTTATTATAATTCTCCTTATTTTTAATCTCTTCTTACCCTATCCAAATTTTTTATCTTTTATCTTTTTTCTCTCTTAGTCACCAACAACGATATGGTAGTATTCCGTTTATAGCAAGGTTAAAGGCAATTTTGCCCTCTAATTATCTACAGAAAAACACTTCGATATATCCTAAATTTTTGTGCAGAGCATTTAAAATGGAAAAACCTCATCCCCAGCAAATATTTTAAAAAATACCTCTATTTAATAAGTGTACACACACTTGTTATCTGATTCTCTTTCGTCATGTCAAGGTGGTCCGGTGCAGTCCTCGGTTTATCCAATTCTCGTCACTAGTTTTAATTCGAAACAACTTTGAAAATAGAAAATTTAAAAAAAGTCAGTTAACGCTTCCAACAAACGACAAAAAAGAAGGAAAAGCCTGAACTGGTATTATGAAAATATGAGAAAATAATCAATATGCCTTTGTGTGATGCTCAGAGAAGAAAGTCGTTATTTTGTATTCTGACCTTGCTAATTCATATTTTAATCTTGTTATTTTTATACTGGCTTTAGTTCTAATTATAAGAACCAGTTGACTAATTTGAGGAGATTAAAAGTAAGTTGAGTTAGTTATTTGTCCTAAATAAATGTTATTTTTATACTACTTTTTTGCAAAACGAGACAAATTTCTCCATATATTTACTTCGTAAACGGTTAAAAGCACTTTTAAACTATAGTTTGGTTTTCATCCAAACACTCCCATAGTTATTTTTTCAAATGGACATATGCTTGCACATGAGGAAAGGATGTTGTTATTATCTATTCTAAACTTATTAATCTATGTTGCAATATTGTTGTTTTCACATCAAATCCATTCATTTTCTTAAACTGACATATGGATAATTGCCCCGCATTTCTATAAGTCCACTTTAAGCTTTTTCTCTTTCCTTATCATTTAGAAGTGTTAACTTTTTTTTTTTGGAATTTCCTATTTCAAGATTTTCTGGTCATTTCCTTTATAAAAATTGATTAAATTACATTATTAAGTAGATTTTATGTTAAAGATTGGAGATAGCAGTTTGAAAATAAGTTGCATATCACCAAAAAGGAGCTGCTTCTTCTAGAAGTAAATTACACTTTGATGCTTTCACAATTTTCAAGTGTTTTTATACAAGTAATATTCTAATGGGAAAATTACAATGAGTTCCTAAATAAGGAAAACAATTAAAAAACAAGTCCAGAAGTTATCATTCTCACTATAAGATTTGTCATTATAGGCTGTTGAGGTCGTTATTAGAACTTTTTAGTAATTATTTCTCTTATGTAGGATTTGATTGTAATTCTTTTTTTTTTCTAATAAGGCATTTTTCACTATATTTCCAAGGATTTTTTTATTAAAATGATGGTCACAGTATCGCATGAGATACAGGATTTAAAAAGGAAACACGAGATATGAGATGGGTGGAAAGGAACACGTTATGATTCGCACTGGCCATTGAAATCAAATCTCCAAACAAGGAATGCCACATAACACAAACAAGTACAGAGAGTGGGTACGTGAATGTCTTAAAGTGTCACGCGCGTGTTATCACTTGGTGAGACAATAAGCCATTATTGGTTCCTTTTCTTTTGTTTGCTTTCTACTTTGTCCATTATAACATATCCCATCTCCACCTAATTTCTCCCTCAATCTCCTCATCATGTAGCCCTTTCTCTTCACACCCTTCACGTGTTTCTGTGTGTCTAATCTATACCTTATTTTCAGTTCTAAATATAAATATAAATTGATTAATTTATTTTGATCTTAAGGATAAAATATTAATCAATTCTGTTTTATGTTTTTTCCCCCAAAATAATCTTACTGATTGCTTTTGAGGAAATCGGCACTTGTTTATTATATATAAAATATTAAATTTGATCGATCTTCTTACTTTCTGTAAATTAATTACTCCTCCCATCCTTAATAAAAAACCCAATTCTTGAATTGATTTTGGTCCTAAATATAAGATCTATTTCTCATATTTATCAATTTTCTCTAAATTACCCCTATGGATACTCTCAACTATAATCAAGTAGAAGAGGGAGATAGGGTATTAAGAAAGATGATTATGGTATTTTAGGAAAAATGTGTCACTTTTCTTATAATTAACTAATTTACCTAACTACCTTAATGTAATCAAATTAGTTAAATGGGTCTTATATTAAGAACATGAAGAGTATTTGATTTCTATATTTAGTATGAGAGCGAGTATTCACAAGTGAGTTGAGCATGAAGAAATTTTATGTGGAAAAAAATTCATGTTACTTCCAATTCTTAATATAAGATATATTTAACTAATTTACACGAATTAAAAAAAGTAGTTAAATTTATTATTTGTCAAAAATATGTGTTATTTTTTTAAAGATCCTCTTAAATCATTTAGATTGAAACTACTCTTAACATATACAACTAATACAATTAATTTGAATTAAAAAAATGATAAATTGAGATTTTATATTTAAAATTAAATTCAATTCTTACTAGTTGCTATACTAAGAACCTATTTGTGACAATAAGTTTAAGTAGGTCGACATTTGTTGTCTTCCAATGTAGAACGCGCGCGATTTCTTTTGTTAATTTTTGATTGATTTATTTTTTTTTCCAAGATTTTTAAGATAAAAATCTCATTTTGTGGTTTTTTTTTTTTTAAAAAGTAGGTGGGTTGGTGAGGGATTAGAATATGACACGTGTTGAATCCAAGAATCACATGGAATTTTGGTTTCATGTGCATGCTGTTTCCTCGAAGCTGGACTCCGCTTTTATCCCGAACCCAAAACAAAACAAAATCTTATCCAAATCAGATCTCTGTTCACCAATTTTGCTCTCTCTATCCGAACTCCAATAACGTCTCATCATATTACCAGCCAATTTAAATTTTATTATCCCTTGCGTAACTAAAATATCTCATATCCCTGTTCCATTTCTAAAAATCTTAACTTTTTTTTCACATGGTTTAAAATTAAATTTATGTTAGACACACAAAAAAGTTACTATCTCCGATTCTTTCAATATAAAAACTAGTTAACTAATTTAAATAGATTTTAAAAAAAAATTTATTTATTTATTTGTAATAAATAGAAATCGTCTTCTATAAGATATCTTTGCTAATCATGTGTATTAGTTAGAACTGCTATTTGATAAAACTTTTAACATGTGCAACTTCTATAAGAAATATTTTTTTTAAAAAAATAAATATAAGAGATAAAGTGAATTAAAATCTTATATTTAAGATCAAATTAAATATCAAACGGGAAGCAGTATCTTATAACAGCGACTTAGTTTAGTTGATTAATTGGATCGAATTTAACCTATCCAATTAGATTGATTCATTCCGGCAAATAAACAAATAGATTGATTTAATTGTATGTTAATAGCATGAGATCATGTCAAAGTCAAGTCAATTTCAAAGAAACATCGTGACAACAGTTCTTAACTTCATTAATCAATCAAAACCAACAAATTATACACGGACCAAACATACAATCGCAGAAACGTTTAATTGTTGATGTAAGAACTAATAAAAAAATTATCTTAATTTTAAATGTAAGATTTCTATCCATTTTGTGTCTTAAATTTATAATTTTTTTTTTCTAAACCCTTCCTATTAATTGAGCATATTAAAAAAAAATTATACAGAGAATAGTAAACAAAAAAAAATACCTTAAGAAAGTCAATCCACGTTTTAACAAATAATTAATTTAATTAATTTTTTTAATTTTCACAAATTAATATTATTCTACGGAAATGTTTTGATCCATCAAATAAAATACTCCTTCTGATCTTAAATATAAAACCCATTTTCTAGTATAATTTACAGGACCAGAGGAGTACATCATCATTGGAATGCAATCATTAGGAAAGTACGCAGGAACTAGTAAAATAGAATTGAAGAGAGAGGCTCCGTTCAAGCATCCCGGTTCAAGTGATTCAATCAATAATCATCGAATGGAAAGGAAAAATACAAATTGGAGTATTCCTTTATATTTAAAAAAGCCACACTGTTTAAAAGTCATAAATAATGTAGATTATTCCCATATTTATTAGTTATTCAGTACAAGTCTTCTGTAGACTGTTCCATGTTCCATGTTATAAGCATATGATGTAGCATCTCATCCTACTCTATACATGTCCACTGAATTTACAGTTTCTCCAACCCCAGCCCCTGTTCTGCAATTATACCTCAACTGCATAATCTGCTGTACAGATCAAAGCAAAAAAAGGAACCAAAAATAACATTACAACTTACAACCTTGTAGCTTGTCTACAACTACCAAGTAGAGCTACTTATAGTATAATGCCACAGGCAGGCTTGTCTATAACATTATGACTACACCAGAGAAGAATAGAAATAGAATGTGTCGACAAACCCGGGGGGTGACTAAGGCTGAAGAAGGAGGATTCTTTTTTGCTTTTTTTTGGCGTGATTTGTGGAGTTAAAACAGAGAGGCAATAAGAACCTATTGCCTATGAGGTGTGCAGTGCATATGATATTGTGAGTTCACATTACATCTTGCATACCCTTCAAGAGTGAAGAACAGTCACCGAGTCCGCTCCGGAGCTTACATGTCTGGAAGCATCGGACCACCTCGTTTATGTTCCTTTTTTCCCTCGAAGAGAAGTCTAGGTCCTGTGATCAAACCAGATAGTTTGTCATTGAACGGTCTAAGAACAATGCATCAGATATTGTGTTTGATTTCTGAGGTAAGGATAATATTTTTGTTTTGCAGCTATATGATTGTTCTTTCCTTTTATAGAGGATAGTTAAAAGTTGTACACTCAGTAGCTTCTGGTTGGGCTCAAAGGGTCATAATCATAAGCTTCCCCAGCTTTGACAAACCGGCCCTTCACGCGCTTTCGGACATCGGCTCTAGCCTTGCGAGAGGCATACCTCACTTTCTTGTCAAACCTAAAAAGGGAACCACAATTCATTTCAATCATCTAGCAAAAGTTGTAAGGTGAGTAAATACAGCTGAAGAAGCAAAAGTTGTAAGGTGAGCAAACTAAATAACTATAGCAGCATAACAATTTGAAAGGTTCTCTACACAAAACATCATCATGTAAGATATAGATGTAGGGTATTACACTAAAATTTAGCAAGGAACACTACTTGCCTCATCAGTGAACTTGCTAAACAAACTACAGGTGCTAAGAAAGAAGTTCTAATCAGAAAGCTTATTTCTTTTCCTTTTTCCAAGTTCAAATAATCATGATGACCCCCAGTGTGTCACTCAATTTTCAGCTTGATCTTTACAGTTTATGACCAGAATATCTACAAAACTTGCTTATGGATTTATGACCATTGTAATTTATTCTCAACCATGCATGAAGTTGCACCAGAATTATCATATACATAGATTTTCATCGGAATATGCTTACTTGCGTGTCTTCTTCTTTTCCTTATAACGCATGACAGCATCGCTGCGGTTGGCAGATTGTACTGAATTCTCAGAACAAGGAGGACACCAAGGAGGCTCCCCCATGAGAAGCATTGAAGAGGCACCACAGTCTTGATAATCTCCAGCACCACTCTCTCCATTGACCCCAGAAAAAGAGAGATTCGATTGCCCTTGCTTCCCCGCAAAACAAAGAATCGGTTCAGTTTTGGCGCTCACAGTAGAATCTGCAGATGCTGCATTGCTGTATGCTGGTTGCACCGCATTGACCAGTCCAGCCGATGAACCCTGGACACATTCTGACTATTAAGTAATGTAACAAATACTGCACCATTTAACACAGCCCACACAAACATGTTCTTTCCAGCATGAGTTCTACATGACAAGGATGAGACCGAACTTAATGCTGAACAGTGAACAACTGACCATCTTATTGCTCAAACTGATTTGCATGCTATTTATTTAAAGGGAAAAAAATAAAAGCATATGGAAGGAAAATACACAAATAACCACATCATCCAAGTATCCAATCCTAACCTGATTAGTCACAAGCTCAGTTATCCAACAGGGACTTGTACACAAATAGGAATCTTTTTGATTTTACGATCTAAGTTACTCTTTTCAATCTCACCAAATAATTGGGCACTTATTCCATCAACATTCTCCCTAAAAGACCAGACAGGAATGCAGAGTTATAGTACCCCTCAACCCTAGCATCTATCTTGTTCAATTTCACAGGAGTCTCTGATGGAACAAACACAGCAAAACTGAACCGATTAAGAAATACTTAAAACCCCTCACTAACATGATATGCACTTGTATTCAAACATTGGGTTTTCCCTTGTACTGAGTAAATTTAGGCCCATGTTCAACAGTCTGCAACATGAAAAAGCCTAGACACAACAGTGAAGCAAGAGATCCCCCCCCCCCCAATTTTGCCATCCATGTCTCTCCACAGTTACTAAGAGGAAGGAAGCAAAGAGAAAAGTAAAAGGCAGAGAGATAAAGCAGACAAAGTACTGAGGTAGAATACGGACAGAGAAAGGAGGAAAAAATAAATAAGTCAAAATGTCATATAATTCAAGTCAGCTAAACAAAATCCAAAAGTATGTCAATCCTTAAAATAGGCAAACTAAACATCATACTATTTCGTAAATTACTTGATGTACATGGGTGTTTGGATAGAAACAAAACCATAGTTTTAAAAGTGCTTTTACGGTATATGAAATAAATATGTAGAGGAGTTTGCCTCGATTTGCAGAAAAGTACTTATGAAAAGTGCTTTTGAGGTGTTCCAAACACCCCCGTAATCCAAAATACTGATGTTCCCATTATTTATCCATTTCCTATCACATGACCGCTATTAATTGAAGTTTGAAGGTTGCAAACAACCAGGCATATCACTGTTCAGACCTCCACGTGATATTTTCCCCTCATATTACGATAGTGATTCTCAGAAGATAGAAAATACAGTACAGGTTTAAAATGCTCTTCATGAGTTCAATTTGTTTACATGCATATTCAGCACAGACCAAAATCAAATTAAAGTGCCAAAACCTCAAAGTTCAACAAAAAGAGATGAGGGCAAAAAACGTGCAGAGTGACCTAAATCCTTTATCAGATAAAAGCAAGGAGTCAACCAAAGATTATATGCCTATTTTTAATCATGAATGCAGGCAAACAAGAATTTACACGAGCGGATGCACTAGAACATTATATGTAAAGAATACAATCACATTAAGATTTTAAATTTGAAGCTTGAATCTGTAGACCAAAAGCTATAGTCAATATCAAAAAGTAATGGGAATATGGAATGGTTCAGTTTTCTCATATTATTTAAAGAAAACACCCACTGTAGGATATAGATCAAAGTTAAATGGAAATCAAGTGAAGAAGCTTCATTGATTAAAAAAAAAAAAAAAGGCCATCACAGACGAAGAGGAAAATAAAATAGACTACCTCAACAGCAATAGATCCCTGACAATTGGAATCAGCAGCAGACGCATCCTTTGTCCCAAACAAGCTATCAATTCCACCATTTTCAAAGAGTTCTTCAGAATGACTAATAGTCATACCAAAAAGTTCCTCATAGTTCTCGAGACTCAGATCCACTTCATCCATGTCAAAATCACCATACAAATCATCATCTTCATTTTCATATGGCACAGGATCTTTTGTACTGGGACAATATAACTACATATTAAATGCAAAAGATTAGTGAAGTGAATAGATGAGGCTACAAGAATTTCACCATAAGAAGCTACAAAACATGTAATTCACTTCAGTCAACCATATAAATAATTGGCAATAATTGAAAGGCATACCAGGTAAGGAGCAACTATCATGTTTATAAGCTACACGGGTAATTATACAAATATATCTTCCACAAAGAAATCAAATGCCATCCGTTGTCATTGAAATCCATGAACAAACATTTGAGAAACAGTTTGCACCCGTCGAGAGAGAATGTCTTGCAACCCTAAAATGGATCATGCAATTTTACTCAGCAAGACATGATACCCCCCTACACTACTGCAGTAACCTAAATGGATCCATCTCAAAGCAGACAGTCAAATTACTTGCATCCCTTCAACCCAACCCAGGGGGAAAAAAAAAAGAAGAAGAGGAGGAAGAAGAAAGAAAGACAATATGATATTCACTCATATGTAGGAACAATATTTGTGAAATCCTTCATGGCAAGTTGGTCCTTAGAGACACAGTTTGCCTCTAAGGACAGTAGCCTAAATGGATCCATCTCAAAGCACACAGTCAAATTACTTGCACCCCTTCAACCTACCCAAGGAAAAAAAGGGGGGGGGGGGGAGACAGTATGATATTCGGTCATATGTAGGAACAATATTTTGTGACATCCTTCATTGGCAAGTTGGTCCTTAGAGGCACAGTTTGCTTGCCCAACAAAATTGGGTACTGGCATGCACTAAATAGGTTAAAATTTGACCAAGTGTACCCAGTTGAGTTTGAGTCACCAAAATAACAGGAGAGACAAACTTTTGTTAATTCCACATATATATCTTCAATGAAAGAGTTGGTAGGAAAAACCAAAGCAAAGCAATGTATAATACTGCAATATCACTACTATGCAGGAACTAAAAAAATCAAACGACAAACAAACAGACAAAGAACTGATTTCCCTCGAGGCTCCCGAACAAAGCAAATGCTGGCTGTGGTGCTCATACTTAAATTCATAATATGGTCTTGGGTTAATACCTTGGGCAAACACTCCTTGGTAGGTCCAGTTGATGGGCCTAGAATACGACGTTCTGAGCTTGACTCAGGTATGGCAGAGGCACCAACCCAAGACTTGTCAAAGCTTTGCAAATCAGTTACTTGAGCAGAACCAGATAAATTCTGGCTTTCTGGAGGAACACAGGCACTCTTGTTGCTGTTCTCATTAATGGTCATCAAACCTAGTTCCTGCTCACAGGTAGTTTCACGCATAGAGGGGATATCCAAGACAAATGGCCATATTGAAGAAAATTCTTCTGCTGAAGGACAGCCAGAGTAGCAATTGACCGTTGGCCTCTTATGTGTTGAATAAGATGTAGTGGGACCATGACCTAACCAATCACAGTTCTGACATAGCGTAATCCTCTCTTCAGAACACCGTACATGAGCAGGTTGTGCATTACATCTCTCACATAAAAGGTTTCTAGAATGGCGCTTAGAAAGAGCATTAGCAGAATGAACATTCCGATCACATGACAAACATAGACATGCAGCATCAGAACGGCAGTACACCATGGACCTCTGATCTCCACAGAAGTCACATATATAACCCATCTTTAAGATGACTCTTAGGTTGCTATCTAAAGAAAGAATTCTTCAATTAGCAAACCTCTATCCAACAGCAATATCGGATGACCAAACAAAATTGTCTTTGTTTCCTGAGTCAATGAAGCAGAATTTTGTTGTCTCTTGCAACTCAAAAGAACTCCCACAATGTGCCAAAAATTTGAAGCTGCAAATTCTACTGCTGCCAAGAAGCAATTTAGTTAGCAATATAAATATAAGAGAAAAAAGAAATACGTACGATTTCAAACTTAAAGTATTAAACATAGGAACGGTGTCATGGTCTAAGACAGAAAAAAGGTTACAATATAGAAGTTGCAGCCGATAACCCCAAATAAAACAGAGAATGAAGAGTTTGTGTTTGTAAGTATAAAAAAATTAAAAGTATCCGAATTATTTTTCAAAAAGGTGGAGGACTTGAAAAGAAAACCACAAAAACGATTTCCGCAGAAACTGTCTGTGGAAAGAGAGAATGATACTTTCTAGACAATCGATTGTAAATCATAGTTAAGAAAATAATTATATTGATTCCTGTGAAGGACTTCCACAGACAATATGACTTCAGATTTAGAGGGGGGAAACATTTTACGCTTCAACGGAATTTGATGTGGATGAATTATCATTTTTAAGCACAGGAATAAAACACCTTTTTCACCTCAAAATAGGACATTTTCATCATCATCAAGAATTCGAGCTGAAGTCTCACTGAATTAAAAATTCAACCTGATCTTTCAAGCAAGCTTCCCAAACATCAACGCTAAGGGATCGGTTGCAAAAAGCAGATCAATTCTAAATGACCAGAAAATTAGAAACATCTATAACACAGCATCAAATACCACCAAATCTTATCCAATAACCAGAGAAATCGTAAATTCTTACCCCTTCCGCTCCTTTCAAAAACCCAGAAAAATACGAACAGCAGTGACAACGAATACACAGAAGAAAGATAGAAGCAAAAAAGGCGAAGAACAGAGAGGGGGAAATTACCTCAAGGCAAGAAAGGCAGGGAGAAGACAAGATCGGTAAAGGGTACTTCTTTTTCAGAGATTTAAGATATAAAATATTAGAAGGCAAAGGGAAGAACAACCCTAGAAGAAGTAGAAGCAGGACTTTTTCGCCACAACACACTGCTGATTCTCTCTCTCTCTCCTCTCTCTCTCTCTCCTCTGCTCTGTTCAGATAGATATGAATTGGAGGAGGATGTGTAGATTAGATTATGGGGAAGTGGGTGTGCAGGTGTGAGGTGTGAGAATAATGGAATTGGGATTTTTGTGATGATGTGTATGTTTATAATTTGTATATAGGTAACGTGACAGAAGTAAAGCGATAAAAAGTGCATCGCAGAGAGTTAAAAAACAGATATATAATGCAGGTGGGGCCAAAGTCCTTTTCTCGGTGAAAGGGAAAAGGTTAGGCCTTTCCTTTTTATCGGTCCCTCACTCACATGAAGAAGAAGAAGGAAAAGAACGGTGTTTACTGCTCAACCTACAGGCAAGGCACAGCACAGGACTCCACATTCACATTGATTCATACGACTTTCTCGCTCTATCCATCTGTGTCCATGTGATTGCTGATGTTGTTTCTTTAATGTTAAAAAAAAAATTGAATTATTAATTTCATCGTCCTAGTGTGATTGAACTTTGTCCAAAAAGTGCATCGTCTCTGGGTGAGCTGGACAAATTGATGTTTTTTTAAAAGTTTCTTTTTTTCTTTTCGGATTAGGTTTTGCACTTTTCACGCTTTGGCGGCAAACTTGGCTCTCAATCTATGGGTGTTTGGTATGGATTAAGAAAATATTAAACAAAGATTCAAACTTTATCAAATTTGACCATTGTGAATTATTAAAAAGGTAATTTCTTAACCATGACGGCGGCTTTTTAAAAAATAAATAAATAGCTACTTTGAAAAAAAAAATTTCAGTGTTAATTTATTTTTATTTTTTATAGTTATAGGCAATAATTTTAGTTTTTAAAATTCTTAACTACTGCTTTTAATTTTTGACTAAATCTTAACTATTCTTTTTTTTCTCCAACCTACTATTACTGCCTTTATAAAGCTTGCTTAAATATTATACAAACATTGCTCTTCCATATTGATTACTACCCTTATAAAGTTTGCTTAAAAGATGTTTGGATAAAAACAAAATCATGATTTTAAAAGTAATTTTACGATTTACAAAAAATATATGAAAGAGTTTGTCTCGATTTACAAAAAAATATTTTCAAAAGTACTTTTATACCCTTCCAAATACCCCTTAAATATTATACAATCATTGTTCTTCCGTATTTAATAAGTAAATAGTTTATATAAAATAAAAAAATAGAAAAGCGTAAATGCAAAGCGTGAGTTTCCACTTCTACTATTTTACGCCACGCTTTTTATTGATTCGACACATAGGAGTGTATAGTAAAAAACGAATTTCAATTAATATTTTATCTATTATTTTTTTTGCCAGCAACTTTTATCTTTTATTGCTTCTTATCTTTTCAGTATACGAACATAAGGTATTTTTTATTGATTTTTGGGCAGAAGATGTTTTCTTTATTAATTCATTTTTTTTACATTCAAGGGTTGTTGAATTTAATTTAATGTTGGCATAGAAAAGGAATTTAATTTAATATATTAGTGGGCATTAATTGCTGTCTCCTCTTACAATCTCTCATCGCCACCCATCTACTTATGCGACGTTTACATCATTATCATTAATATTAACATCAATTCGTATTAATATGAAATGTAGAAAACAAGTACCAATATTACCGAACATTCAAATACACAATTGGTTATTTTAGCTTCATAGGCTATTAGAAAGGAAACTATGATCCTGAGAAAAGAATATAAACACACATAAAATTTAAATAATATAAAATTTGTCATTCATTTATTATAAAACTTTTCAATAATTATATATTTTTTAAAATCACATTATGATTTTTCTATTAGAAATTCTTATAGAAAAAATTGCAATTATTCAAGTGGTGATTTTTTCCCCCAAAATTCCTCTTTTTTTTTTAATAAAAAAACAACTTAAAAGGTTAAAACTTAGGATAATTAGATGGAGAGAAATGTGGGAGGAAAATATGAGATAATATTATGAAGGAAAACTCTTAAGCACATTAAAAAAAACTATTTTAGATAGTTTCTCATTTGGGAGGTGTTTGGTTAAACAAAAAATATACTTTCAAAAAGTGTTTTCAAATAAGTCAAAATAAAACTCTTCTGAGATACTTTTTGCATATTATAAAATTATTTTTAAAATCATGATTTTGTTTTCACCCAAATATTTTTTTAATATTCTTTTCTCCCTAACTTTCTTTCCATCTAAAAGTACTGTGTATCGTTGATCCAAAATTGTGTACAATCACAAGATTCAAATGTATAGCCTTTCTAAGTGTGTGTCTATTTTTAACAAATTAAAACATAAATGATGCAACTTTTCTCAATTTTCGTTCACCTTTTTTAATTCAAATGAATTGGTGTTTCCTCATATATAATGTGTAGATTATTATCATTGTCCTCATTATTATTATTTAGATATTACTAGTTTTTTTTTCCTTTTAAAATAAAGGAAGTCAATAGGATGGCCCATAGGGGGGCATTCTTCATTAATCATAGGGGCCCTGTCCTTTTTGTTGAGCGCTTTAATTTCATATCCACACCCACTTGACCAATCAGCCCTTTTTTGTATTTTCAGTCAACAACAATTTATTTATTTCTCAAAAATAATGATTGCGCATAAAAGTAATATTATAATATTCTCGTAGATTCCATCTGCCCTTTTTTATGAACATCCAAATTGTTAAATCATTGCAGGAAAGTTTTATATATGTGCAGTTCTTAATATTTTCAATTTTTATTTATTTAATAAATAGGTAATAATATGATTTATCAATAATAACGCAAAAAAAACTATTTTTTTTGGTATTCATGCGACTCAAATTAAATCTTATGCTTGTTATACCAATCAATTATCAACTATAATACCTGATTAGTTTGAAAATGGGTCGGGTATGATATTATTGGATCCGAATATATTCAATTAATGAGATTTGAATAACATATTGATTGAAATTTAAATGTATTGAATTGAACGGGAAACATTATAAATAAATAAAATTTTAATTTGAGGCTCAAATGAAGAAATTATTAATTAATTTTGAATTTGAATAATATTTTAATTGAAATTTGAATATATTGTATTAAACGTGGAGTATCATAATTAAACAGTATGGAAATTGGAGACTTAAATAGAAAAATAAATAAATAATTTTAATTTTTTTTATTTTTTCTAAATTTTGCATCTCTAATTCAAATTCTATTTGAATGAATAAAAAATCATACTCCTATAACAAGTAAATACTGAGCTACAGTAGATAATATAATTTATTAGAATTTGCACATAAATTATATAGCCGTTACATTTATACATAAACTAAATTATCTTTTTATAGTTTGTATTGTTTTTTTCCCTACTTTATTTTTAATCCTTCAAAGTTCTTGATAATACACGTAGCCATCAGGGGCGTAAATAGAGTGGCAAAGGAAGGGCATTTTGGTAAACTCACGAAGAGGCTTGGATATTTTTTGATAGTAAGAGGGGTTGGATATTTTGGTTCTTGGGTCAAAAAGATGTTCCCTTCTGTGTGGAGGTTAGATCGGATCTTCCATGTCTTTTCATTATTGCTTCTTCGTTACGGCACCCTCCAATTTTAAGAGAATATTTTTATAATTCCTTAAAAAAAATTGAAAACACTTATTATCCCTTCTTCATGTAAGAAATACTTCTTATACTGCTGAAAACCAAAATTATCATGGAACTTTCTTTTACTTAATTATGATTGATATGATATCAATAAAAATAATATAAAAAAATTAATAAATATAAAAATAAGTCTTATATTTAAAACTAATATTAATTTAATAATTAAGCTTTATATTAAGAATTACAGTATTTAAAATTTTAAGATGTATGGAGAAACCACCAGCAAATCTTCAGCCTAATGTGTAGCCCTATATATTTTCATGTTGAAGGAATTAATTCTTTTTCCTACCTTCGGTAGAATTATGACGAACTTTCAGGTCCCAAAAAAAATCTCGAAGTTCCGACAGAAAAATATCTTCCCGAAATCTTCGCTTAGGAACAAAATTATATCCTTTAAAGATTGGAACCCTCTATTTGGGCCCATATTCTGGGTTTGTCGGCTTCAGGGTCTTCTAGAACTATGCCTTGGGATTATTGATAGTGGGCCTGAATTTAAGGTCTAGGCCCAAGGTTTTAAGAAAATCCTTTTATTTAAAGGCCCAAGATCCAGGGACAAAGATCTTATGAACCCACTCAAAGATCCAACGTCATTTCTCATTCTCAAATTAATCAACTGAGTAGGAGTAATATACTGCCTCCGCTTCAAATTATAAGAGCTTGTTTATAGTCTATAAATCATATAAGATTTTATTTGTAGTTTATAATGAGATCTTATAATTAAGACAGGAGGTAGTACTACCTCCGATCCTAATTATAAGAGCTAGTTGACTAATTTGAAGCGATTAATAAAATAAGTTAAGTTAGTTATTTATAATAAATATATGTTTTCTTTTTCTAAGATATCCTTACTAATCAAATTTATGGGTTAGAACTACATTATTAGAGGGACTATTTTGGGGAAAAAAATACATAAATATGAGAGATAAAGTGGATTGAGGTCTAATAATCAAGACCAAAATAAAAATCAAACAAGATGTTATATTAAAGATAGGATATAGTATTTGTTAATAAATTCCTTGCATTCACCTTTACACCTCACTTCATGGTTCATTTAGACCCAACATTATTGTAATTTCAGTCTCCAGTTAAAACAATTTCCCGTCCATTTTCATTGCGGCAACTTGTATTTTTAATTTTTTTATCTTCCTGTTTATAATAAAATTGCTTTTTTTTTTCCGTCCTTTTGCAAATATATGACTGAACAGGCAAAAAATCAAAGTGCATATTTGTGCATACTTTTTTTTTAAGATTAAGGTCGTTCAGTATCCCGAACTATTTTTCCAGGTGTGCCTAGTATCTTAAAGTAATTTTCGGTGCATCTAGTGCCCCAAACTAATTAAAACGATGCATCTATATCTCGGGCTAACAGAAAAGTTAAGTTTGACCGTTACCTTACTGATTCATCCGAAGGTTGACTAAAAAATCTTACGTGACAAACATGTAAACGTCTGATGTGTATTATTTTGATGAGTTAAAGCACGCCCAGCACCCCGAATTATTTTTCCAGTTGCGCCCAATGTCTTAAAGTAATTTTTAATGCATTCAGTGTCTCGAACTAATTAAAACAGTGCTTTTATATCCCATGTTAACATAAAAGTTTTGTTTGATCATTACCTTACTGAATCAACTGAAGCTTGACAGAAAAATCCTACATGACGGACATGCAGGCGTTTGATGTGTGTGTATATATGTATATATATATATATATTTAAATATCATGCATCCCATATTTTTTTCCTGGCAAAAAAAAAAAAAAAGCTTTGATCAATACTACAAATAAATAGTATCCCCACGCTCTTTTATCAACAAGGGAGACAGGTGTTGACTCCCCTTCTTTCCAAGAGACCAAAATATCTCTTTCACAGTTTCAGCACTTTCAGCAACCCAAAGCATTATTATCTGAAGTCCCACGAGGTCCACGCTAAGAACGGAGCGATCCGCATTTCATCTTCCTCACTTCTTCTATTTAGAGCCCTAAGCTATAGGCGCTTCTTAATTATCTGCTTTGAATCCAACCTGTTTCTTTCAGTAACAGTCGCAGTGCACCATGGCAACACCACCGCAAGTTATCACATGCAAAGGTATTCTTCTCCTTCTTCAAATGTCTCAATTGAATGCTTAATTTCTGCAATATCGTTGAATCGAGAGAATGATCGGAGATCGACGGAATCTGGAAAACGGAAGTGCAGGGGCTGTGTGGTGGGGAGGCGGAGAAAACGATGTGAAGGTGGAGGATATACAAGTGGATCCTCCGAAACCAACCGAAGTTCGGGTCAAGATGCTCTGTGCTAGTGTCTGCCACACCGACCTCACTAGGGCCAGAGGACAGCCATTAGTAAAACTCTCTTCCGATTTTCTTTCATTTCAGAAATACACATTCCTTCTCCGCAATATCTGATTTGATCATGAGAAACTAACAACATGATTGATCACTTCAGTTTTCAAGCATCTTTGATATCTCTGAAATTTTTAGTTACCGATTTCATGTAGCTACCTTCAATATCTTCATTGTTGGACGTAAATAACTATATATCATTTAACAACTCTGATTTTATGTGCAGCCTCTGTTCCCCCGAGTATTAGGCCATGAAGGAGTTGGGTAAGCTGCCTATCTCTGTGTGTGTGTAGCAAATTGGACTCTGGACTGTGTATAATGCATGGATCCCAATTTAATCTAGTTTCCATTTTAACTTGATGATGGACTGCCCAAGATGATAATGATGATGCATATGACTTCTCATTTTTAGCATTTTGCAGTGTTGTTGAGAGCACTGGGGAGAGAGTAACAGATCTGGAAGTAGGCGATGTTGTTATTCCTACATCTATCGGTGAATGTCAAGAATGTGAGAACTGCATTTCAGGGGAATCCAACCTGTGCCTGAAATACCCTCTTACGTTAAATGGCTTAATGCTGGATAACACATCAAGGATGTCCATTAGAGGTCAAAAGATATACCAACTTTTTAGCTGCTCCACGTTTGCAGAATACATGGTAACTGAAGCAAATTACCTCGTCAAAGTTGATCCCAACATTGACCTTGCCCATGCTAGCATCATCTCGTGTGGGTTTTCTACTGGTTTTGGAGCTGTTTGGAAGGAAGCAAAGGTTGAAAGAGGATCATCCGTAGCTGTGTTTGGCCTTGGTGGTGTTGGATTAGGTGTAAGTATCTTTTTCTTCAGAAAACTTCTATTTTGGTCTGTGATAGATTGAGCCTTCTCCGGATCATTTCTTTTAGTTTCACCTTCCCATATGTTGGAACTTTTAGAACCGAGATCTTCTGTTGTGTTCTAAAACATTGTGTGATTCAGTAATTGGTTTCATTTTAGGCATGTCTTTGCAATGAAATACAGGCTATAAGCGCAGCCAAGATGATGGGGGCAAGTAAGATAATTGGGATTGACAAGAATGAAATGAAGAAATCAAAAGGAGAAGCTTTTGGAATGACAGATTTTATCAATCCTGATGCCTGTGATAAATCAGTTTCAGAGTTGCTTAAGGAACTGAGTAATGGAATGGGTGTAGACTGTTCCTTTGAGTGCACTGGAGTTGCCTCTTTACTTACTCAAGCCTTTCAAGCCACGAAATTGGTATATTCTTATTTCATCAAGCAATTCATTATTGGTTATAACAATTAGAGGGGGGTATTTTTTTAAATTTTATACACACTCTGTTTCACTCTTAAAGAAAGATACCTTCTCTTTCTCTTTATGTGATGACCCTTTCTTTTTTCTTTCTTTTCTGAAGTAGGTGGGTTGATTTTGGTAGTGATATAATAATCTGTGTTATACAGGGAAAGGGAAAGACAATAGCAATAGGTGCGGTATCTCAAGAATTTGTGCATATCGACTTTTCCTCGCTTATATTTGGGAGAACTTTAAAAGGTTCCATTTTTGGAGGATTGAAACCTAAATCTGATCTGCCCTTCATAGTTGACAAATGCTTGAAAAAGGTGAGTATTTTTCAGGGTCAATTGTGTCTAAGGAACAAATTTATAATTTTTTTTTTAAATTTCTAAGGACCACTAATGGTAAATACTCATTGTGCAGCTGAAAAATTTGCGTTAAGTGAGTATTAAATTTAAAGGCCTTTTTAATTGACCATTTTCTTGTTTACAGGAGTTCCCTCTTGACGAATTTCTTACTCATGAGGTGTCACTAGAAGAGATGGGTAAAGCTTTGGAGCTACTAAAACAACCAGACTGTGTCAAAGTTATCATAAGGATATCTATATGAAGTATAGAAGATAAATAAAAGCAATTCATGCAAGCGTATGAAGCAACTTTATTTTCAGTGAATTTTGTGTGGTTTGTATTTGAGTTTTCCAAGCAAATTAAATTATCAATTCTCGTTTAATGAGGCAGATCTTTCAATAATTAACGTTACACAAGCAATACCATCGTCTAATAATACTTCTGTTTTGAAAATGGATATTGTCTCCTATTATGTTAGAAAGGCCCGTTTTTTCTCCTTTTAATCAAGATTTGAGTTATGACCAAGGAATTTTAGTCCTTGTAGGGCTCAGAAAAATCTATACATAATCAGGGTCAATAACTACTGCAAACAAATTAATTAAATAATTTAATTAATTATGTAGTCTTATTCTTAGAATTAAACATAATAACTTACAAAAATAATCCACATTATCAATCATTTATTATTTATTTAATATTAGATATCAACTGCTAGCCACCTCTCGATTGAAATTTTTTAGACACGTGGACATTATAAAAATATTTCTATTTTAAATAAATTTAAAAATATTTTTTTAATCGCGTTGGTCAGTATAAACTATAATTATAATCTCACTAGAAAAGCCTCCTCCGTTGTATGGAATGGTGGAAATATTTGAAACTATTTTGTAAAGAACAGGAGTATAAATTTGGGCTTGTTGAACTCCTTGTTTCAATATCTGAAAGATAACAACAAAAGCAAATGGCTTGTCATTATTATTTGCGTGATTTGTCTTTTACCAATTTTCCATCAATTATATGTTTCCTTTTTTTTTTTTTCACCAAACATCAATTACATGTTGAGGAAATCAAATATTTGCACTAATTAGATTGCATGCCAATTTTCTTAATTTTTTTCTCTTTTTACTACTTGATTATTTGAAGAAAAATATTAATGAGATTAATTTTAAAAAAATTGATAGATGCGTGAAATGAGAAATAGATACTTCTTTGATCCTTAATGTAAGATTTAATTAATTAATTTAATTAGATTAAAAAAGTTAAGTAAATTAGATAATTATAATAAATATGACACGTTTTTCCTAAAACACCATAATCATCTTCCTTAATACCCTTTTTCTTTTCTATTTAATTATGATTAAGGATGTACCCATAGAGATAATTTAAAAAAATATTAATAAAAATAAAAAATAAATTTTATATTTAATATCAAAATTAACTCAATAATTACTTGAGTTTTACATATACAAGACCAATCTCAATTTCCCAGCATCCGCGGGACGTGGTCCCCACGGCGATTCTAGGGCGGTCCAATATCCGTACATGTCGTCTTCTCCACAAGCTATGAGCATATATGGATTATGGGTCGTCCGCTTTACTCATTTCGGTATCAGTGCGAGTAAGAGTGAGAGTGACTATGGCATCGACGCCACAATTTACTACGTGCAAAGGCATTCTCCTCCTCCTCCTCCTTTTGTAGTTTGAAATGCCACTATGGAACGCTTGATTTCTGCAATAACGTGGTTGAGTTGAGACTGAAGAACCTCTGCGGACTTTGGAACTGGAAGTGCAGCTGCCGTGTAGTGGGGAGGCGTGAGAAAACGATGTGAAGGTGGAAGACATACGAGTGGAACACCGACCTCTTTTGGGCCAGAGGATTTTCCCTCGTAAGTCCTAACACTCTCCACATTTTATTTATCCCTATTTTCTATTTCATCTCGAACAAAGATTAATTGGTTCGGTCCCAGAAGTGATCTTATTATATATAGAGTATTAAATCTTTCTATTTATTCTGAATAGTAAGGTAGTTGGTTGATCCAGAGTCATTGAAAGAATAGGGGGTGATCTTGAGACCGATTTTGAAAAGGTTTGAACTTGAAGTTTTAGTGATGATTTGAAAATAAAAAATTACTCCTCACACGCCATCACTATTATATTAAACTTGTACAATGATAAAAGATAACAAGATATATAGTATATCATACTATTTAGATTTCTCAACGAAAGTTATCGAAGAAGAAGCAGTGAATATGAGTTGGTCAAGAGTGAGATTCTCGTTGTTTCTCAGTTGTACAAGACACCAACTACATGTGTGAAAGCTAATATCACTATTTTACGTGCAGCCTTTGTTCCCTCGAATATCTGGGCATGAAGTTGTTCGGTGAGCAGCAAATTCTCATTCTAACTTGATCTAAATTATGAATCAAGATGACAATATATATGACCTCCCATTGTTGAACTTATTGCAGTGTTGTTGAGAGCACTGGGGAGAAAGTAACAGATCTAGAAGTAGGCGATGTTGTGATCCCAACTTTTATTGGCGAATGTCTGGAATGTGAGAACTACATTTCAAGGGAATCCAAATTTTGCCTGAAATACCCTATGAGAATAAGCGGCTTAACGATGGATAACACATCAAGGATGTCCATAAGGGATCAAAAGATATTCCATTTCTTCAGCTGTTCCACATTTGCAGAGTACATGGGGACTTAAGCAAATTACATTGTCAAAGTTGATCCCAACATTGACCCAGCCCATGCTGGCTCATCTCTTGTGGATTCTCAACTGGGTTTGGGGCTTGTTTGGAAGGAAGCCAAGGTTGAGAGTGGCTCATCTGTCGCTGATTTTGGCATTGGTGGTGCGGGGTTAGGGGTATGCTTTTTCTTGAGAATACTTTTGTTTTAGTATCTGACAGGTGATGTCTTCTACAGATCATTTTTTCTTTTTCAATTTATAGTCTTTCATTCTTTAAAATTATTGTAATGTCACCCTTCCGTCTCATTTTTATTTAGAATTTAAGGTCAAACCTAATAGTCTATGAATTAGTCATTTCTTCAACTCATAATTTGAATCAAACTTGTAGTTAATTAACTCTCAAATTTGGTGCAAATCAATGGAAACAATCTTTTTGAAAATCAAAATAGAACTCCACATAGCTGCTAGAAATTTGATCTATCTTAGTATGTAGACTGGTTTCATTTAAGGCACCTCTCTTCAATGCAGTGCAGACTATAAGTGCAGGCAAAATGATATGGGCAACTAAGATAAGTGGGATTGACGAAAATGAGATGAAAAAGGAGAAAGGAGAGGCTTTTGGAATGACAGATTTCATCAATCCTGGTGCATCTGATAAATCAATCTCAGAGTTGGTCTAGGAACTTAGTGGTGGAATGGGTGTGGATTATTGTTTTGAGTGCACTGGAGTTGTCCCCTTGCTTTCTCAAGCACTACAGGCCACAAAATTGGCATTTTCAACTCATTAAACCAATTCATTTTTGGTTATTACAGTGAAGAGCATTTCTAGATTTTATGCATACTAAATCACCTTCTTTAATGATCTTGTGCATTTAGAATCTCATGGACCACTACGTTACGGCCCTTTTTCTGATTTGGCGTTAGAAGCAGATGGGTCAATTCTGTTATTGAGATACTGTATTTATACAGGGCAAGGGAAAGACGATAGCAACTGGTTCAGTAAGTGAACAATCTGTGCCCATCAACTTCCGTTCCCTTTTACTTGGGCGAACATTAAAAGGTTCTATGTTTGGCGGACTAAAACCCAAATCTGGCCTCCCTTTCATAACTGACAAATGGCTGAAAAAGGTTAGCTCCTTTACAATTGAAGCACACTCTCACACACTATTTACCGGCTAAATGTGTGATATTAATTGACTGTTTTCCCATTTACAGGAGTTTCCTCTTCATGAACTTGAAACTCATGCGGTGTCCTTGAAAGATGTGGACGAAGCTTTGGAGCTATTTAGGCAACCAGATTGCTTCAAAGTTGTGATTAGGATTTAGGATGTGAATATGATATAATTGTAAATTGTTGGTAAATCTAAAATAATTAATAATAATTGAATACTAGAAAATGTAATTATTCTTAATTTTATATAAAAGATAAAAGCATGTTGTGTGATGAGTAATGACTATGAGTAAAAACATAAGAAGTACTCACTCCTCTCTTAAAATAAATGCATGAGTTATATATGACTAATTTGTGAACGTTAAAAAATAGTTAAATTATTTGTGCGTTAAAAATGTGTTTTTGTTTTATTTAAAAGATTCTGTTTAATCGTTTACACTGAAAAGTGCTCATATTAATTATAAACTTAAGAGAGAAAATAAATTGAAATTATCCCCTAAAAACTAAAATAAATGCCTACCTTATCCATGGGAGCTTTTCTTTCGTTTTTTTTTTTTCTTTTCTAAATAGAATGTAAGAAGTACCCTCTCTTGATCTAATAATCACTGGCTAAAACAAAAACTAATGACTAGAAGAACTAAGGTTCTTGATACGAAACATTAAAAATAAGAATAAGAACTATGATTATAATTAAAAAAAATAGTTAAAAAAAGTTTTTAATATAAATAATTACTTGTTATATGACATTAGACAAACCTATGAAGGTAGGATTGAGGAATACCACTTCTTTAATCTCATGTACATAGGTTTGTTTAATTCTATATAACAAGTAATCTCTCATATTAAATACTTTTTTAATAGATATTTTTAATCACAACCCTAACTCATATCTCTCATTTTGAATGCTTTGTATAGTCTGGCAGCAAGAAAAAAAAAATTAGGGCCTGTTTGGGTAACATAGGAAACCATGGTTTTAGGATCCAAGCCATAGTTTGAGTCCCAGATTTGCCAAATAGGAAGGAAAATTAACAAACTATGGTTTTGGACTCAAAAACATGGTTTCAGAAAAAGTAAATCTATTTTGCTTCTGATTCAAATTAAAGAGTATGATTGTACCTATTAGAGTAGATTTCAATGATAATATGGCTTTAACACCTCTCAATTATTTTTTTATGAGCATATTTAATCTTATATTTTATAAATATATATTAATTATTTACTAATTATATTATCTTATATATTATTAATTATGTTGGTAAAAAATATATTATTAACAATTTCATTTTTTCAAATTAAAATATATTATAAAATATATTTTTTATGTAATCATCATATTAACTTATATTTTTTTTAGTAATTTGTATATATAAAAAGTGTTTCTAATAACAACTATCTAAACATTCTTATTTTATCATAATCACTTTTTCATAAAATTTATTCTTTATAAAATTTATTCTCTCAGAAATCTATTAAGAAAAGAAGTTATTATCTAAGCTATAATTCGAGTTTATCCAAACATTTTTACAGAAGTAAGGAAAGGC